GAGCGGGAGGAGAGGGAGAAGGAGCGGGAGGAGAGGGAGAAGGAGCGGGAGGGGGGGTGGGAAACGGAGCGGGAAAAGGAGGAGTGGGAGGAGGAGCAGGACAAGGAGCGGGAAGGGAAACGGAAAGGGGCGGAGGAGGCGTAGGAGGAGGAGCGGGAGAAGGAGCGGGAGGAGGAGCGGTAGGGGAAACAAGGAGGGGGTTAGGAGCGAAAGAAGGAGCACGAGGGGAAACGGGAAGGGCCGGAGGAGGCGCAAAAGGAGTAGTAGTAGAAGGAGCGGGAGGAGAAGCGGGAGGGGAAACGGGCAGGGGGTTAACGAACGCGAGGGAGGAGGAGTGGGAGGGGAAATGGGGAGGGGGTTAACGAACGCGCGGGAGGCGGAGGAGCAGGAGGAGGTATAGGTGCAGGAGGAGAAGCTGGAGGAGTGCGAGGAGCAGCGGGAGAAGGCAGGGGAGGAGGAACGAGAGAAAGAGCAAGAGAAGCATCGGGAGAAGGAGGAGCAACATTAGGGGGAGCGAGAGATGGAGAGGGAGGAAGAGCAGGAGGAGCGGGAGCAGGGCTGTGGTGGGATCTTTATCACATTGTTTGGCGGAGGAGGAGAGGGAGGAGGAGGAGGAGGGGTGGGAGGAGCGGGAAAAGGAGCGGGAAAAGGAGCGGGAGGAGGAGTGGGAGAAGGAGCGGGGATCGTCGGGGAAGGAGCAGGAGCGGGGCTATGGCACGGGACGAGGAGCGGGAGGAGGGGGATGAGGGACGGGGGAAAGAACAGGAGAAGCAGCAGGAGAAGGAGGAGGAGGAGGAAGAGCGGGAGGAGGAGCAAGAGGGGGGGTGGGAGAAGGAGAGGGAGGAGGAGCAGGAGCTGGGCTATGACGAGATCTTTGTCATGTTGTTTGACGGAGGAGAAGCGAGAAGAGGAGGAGTGAGAGCAGCGGGAGAAGGAGCGGGCGAAGGAGTGAGAGAAGGAGCGGGAGGCGTGGGAGGGGAAACAAGAAGGAGTGGAGGAGGTGCGGGAGGAGGAGTGGGAGGAGGAACGACAGGGGAAACAGGGAGGGGGTTAGGAGCGGGAGGAGTGCGAGCGGAAGCGGGAAGGGGCGGAGGAGAGGCCGGAGGAGGAGCGGAAGAAGGAGCGAAAGGGTTGAAAGAGGGGGGTGTGGGGGGGGTGGACATCGATTGATTGACATGGCCAACAACACTCGCACCCTGCAGGCGTATTCACCCTGAGTGGTTACCGACACTAGCACTTCCCCATATGAATTTGTCCGCAACAACGGCTAGAGGTGGATGAACGTGACCACCATAGTGTCCGGAGCTTAGAAGAAAATCCTACTATGAGTATGCTGTGCGCGCAGCCTAGGACCAAAAAAATAACAAAAAACGCTAAACAGCCAACTGCCCAAGAAAAAACACCATCTCCACTACTTGATGCACACATGAAACTGTTGAATTGGCCGTGTCAGGGCGCGAGCATGCACACGCGCGCGCGTGCATGTGTGTGTGTGTGTGTGTGTGTGTGTGTGAGAGAGAGAGAGAGAGAGAGAGAGAGAGAGAGAGAGAGAGAGAGAGAGAGAGAGAGAG